TTTCTTGCTGCAAAAAAAAAAAGAGAGAGAGAGAGAGAGAGAGAGAGAGGAGAGAAAAAAAAAAAAAAAAAAAAAAAAAAAAAAAAAAAAAAAAAGGCGGGGGGTGGACTTAGCGGTGTAATTTGAGACCGGCGGTGAGGATTGGAGCGAGCTAGAGATGCTGCACGCTGCTAACAAGGGAAGGAAGCCTACAGCTGAGGCAGGTAAGAGCGCCGATCGGAGGGTTTGACCGAGTGGCTTAGTTAAATCTCTGTTTTCACCGTTTTGTAATTGAGAAAGGCATCCGCATCAGAAGCCGATTTTGCAGCCGGCTTCCTTTTGTTTAACGCAGAAAGTACCTGTATTAATTTTGATGAATTAGAGCATGCAGCAAATTCAATGGAAAATAGATTTGGATAGTAAAATGCATTTTATACCCGAATGATTTCTCCTCCGTTTTATTTAAGGAGAGAAGAGGAGAAAGATGATTTTTTGATCAGACTAGCACTTTGCATTACGTTAAATTCTAAAACAGCTAACGGGGAAAAAAAATAATAATAATAATGATTCAATTGATACTGCTTTTGAACTTCGGGACTTCAAGCCTGGGAGACAGCTGGCATTTGACAATTTTTTTCTTGTAGCTGAACTTCGGATGTGTTATAATAATTTTTCACTGGAGGTTTAAGCAAGGGTAGAGTTTATTTAAGTCTAGCTGCTGGGGTTTGTTTGGCTTGGAGCTTGTGGGGGAAGCGTTTCTTGTATCTTCTTAACCTGCGTCAGGTTGATGTTTCATAAATGGAGATTAAGTATTGTCCCAGATGAAATCTGAAGTTAAAACATCAGGTTAGGGCATGTTTTAGAAACGGATCCAGTAAATAATTGGGATAACTGAATTATGACAGTTTGCAATGGGAGTTAACTCTGGAGGAGCTGTTTGATAAACCTTTCTGGATTCTAAGCAGCTCAATAATGGAAGGGCTAATTATCAGTCTCAAGACGGAACTTTGCATTAGGATCCTAAATGTAGAATACATGTGGACTTCCACTGTAGGTAGCTTTTAGGAATATGTCCCTTTTGTGTGCTATGAATGGGAGTTGTGGATTATATTTGATGGCATTTCTCCTTTAAAGAGCTTTGGGATGAAGCTTAAAAGGCTCACATCTATTTTAACATTGAACAAACACAAAATGCGATACACTCCAATCTCCCAGCACTTGATTTTTGTCGCTGCTTCTGTTGTTTTAAAGTTTTGATTATTCGTTTTTCACCTCAGTCTCGGTCGATTTTGTGTGAATTGCTTATGCTGCTAAAATGTATTGCTGGCATGAATAAACTGAGATTTGAGAATACAAAAAAAAAAAAACAACCCACTTCTAATTAGCCAAGTTTTTAATTTAGGATAACAGAAATTCAGATTATACCTTGGATTTGACCTAAAATGTTTCAATTCATTTAAAAAAATTTTTTTGGATGGGAAAATCTGAATATTAAAAGTACAAAATTCTATTAAAAGAATACTTCTCCGGAATGATACATGGAAAGGTGACTGCACTGCCTTCACAAGGTTTGGTCTTGGAAAGAGCTGCTATACTATGGCATTGTTGAGTTCAGCAACTACGTACGGGAGGATGTTTTCTCCTATTTGCTTGGCGATAAGATTTTTTCCTTCTCAAGTTTCCAAACTGGACTTAGTCCTCAATACCATACTCTGGCATGTCTCATGTTTGTCAGACCATCTAATGGCATCTTGTGGGTGCAGCCTGTGAATGGAATTTTATGAGGACATCAGAAACTGCCGAATACTGGGGACTGGAGACCAAATGAGCTGTGGGTCTGATCGCATGCACTTCATCATCCCGAGATAATCTCCGCCAGAAGTTCCCTGGGAAGCCCCCGATACAGGTGTGGGGAAACTTAATTTTTCCTTGTGGTTAAAAGAACAGAGAAAGATGTGGACGGAGCGAGAAAGGAATTGCTGCAGCGTGTTTGATGTATGTGATCATGCTGGTGATAGCATAGTGAGTTTTTTAAATCCCATCACGTGTAATCGTTTTTTTTTTTTCAACTTAAGAAACTTTGCAGAATCTCGAAGTAGCTTTTCTCAAATGCAATCTTATTTTTTTTTTCTATGTTGCTTTCTTGCATGCAATCTTTTCTCTAACTCTAGCCATAGCTAACTATTGAGGGCTGTTATTTTGCTGCTGATAATGATGATTATTTCTCAAGTAAGTGGCAAGTGTTGAGAGAGGATGGGCCAGGAGAAACGTGTTGTCTGTATCATATGTGTTTTTTTCTTTCATTTATGAAATGACTTCTTCAAGGTGAGGTGATGGTAAATTTGAAGTTACGGCTTGGCCATTTGTATCACTGAACCACTTACCCTTCTCCTAGAGAACGAAATAGAACTAAAGTGAGCGGAAATAATTCCGTTGTAAACTGGGTGGTAGTTCAGCATGCACTTTTTAGGCAGATGGTAATCAATGCTATCCTTACTCAAACTGATTCATATAAATAGCATTTTTCTGACTTTTCCAGTAGATGTTGCTGGAGAGCAAAGAAAAGATCATTTTTTTACAGGAAGAAAAGAAATGCAGTAGACTTATAAAAGCCAAAGAAAAAGATCCTTCTCCCCAAACTCTGCTGATAGCATTTTGCATAATTTCCTAATTAATGAATTATATTGAATCATTACCATTTATGATGTTCTATAGAAAGCTATTAAAACTTGATTTCGATTTTAAAATTACGTGATTGTTCTCTTTCGTCCCTATATATAATGTCTGTTTGCTGTTTTTCATTTTTAAAAAAATCAAGTTAACTGCACATTACTATTCAGAACATTTCATCCCTGAATGCTAAAACCCTTTAACATGCAAATATGATGTCAGAGGAAGAACTGAAATAGAATACCCTGAGAAGAGTAATGATCAAACGCATTATAAAAATATGCACCAGTTGCCAACATGTAATGAAATATTAAGAAATTAAAAGCATGCAACCTCTAAAGTAATAGAATTTCATTGCTCTGAGACTGTTTTCCCACTGAATATTAAGTGCTTAATAGATCTACCCATAAAAAACAATCGAAAACCTACATGGTTTGTCACCGAAGTTCTTTCATTATATGATTTTGAAAAATTAGCCCAATAGGATTTTCCTCAGAATAGGAAATGTAATTAACATTGGATATTAAGTGCCAGACTTCCAAAGCAAAAGCCACAAGGCTTGATGGAGAAAATAGAAATGCAGAGAGCAAACATAAGTGCTAGAAGCTGAGGGGACCCAGGCTGGAACTACTCTACTGGTAATCACTCTGATAAAATGACAAAGACGTCCCAGAGGAGCCCTGGATTCTAGTATCCAGACACTAACTGATGCAATTTCAGGCAACCAATGACCTCTATCTGTGGGAATATTTATTTTTGGAAATGATCAATTAACCGATTTCAATTGTGAAAGAGAAGTGTATCTATTTTTTTTCCAATGTGAGTGGGGTGTTGGGCGTTAGAAAAGCCCTTACAGACAGGACAAGGGAATAACCTATATTGGAGAGCTTTCGGTTTTCCCTACCATAAGCAGACCCAGCCCTTTGCTGGTGGGTTTTTGTTTTGCATGGAAGCACTTCTTTGTCAGTTTTCATTCCTGAGGTGTGAAATGCTCCATAGGATGTTTTGATTTAACACTCATTCATTTCTTTTTTTTTTTTTTCTGGGAGGAAAAAGCTTATATTTAGAAGGCATGAGTGTCAGCTACTTCTATTTTGTAATTAGCACTGTAAGTCCACTGGGGTAAGTATGCTCCAGATTTTTTTTTTTTTTTTTTTGCTTTGATTCAAATATAATTTTTGTGCTTGACCCATAGTGGTTTTTTTTTTTTTTTTTTTTTTTTCTTTTCTTCTGTCTTTAAATAAGAAAAGCTTTACGATTTGGCAGGAGATTTTACTTTCTAGTTCTGGTTTGTTTGCTGTTTGCCTCCTGTTCTTCTTCTTTTTTTAATAGTCGTTATCAAGCACTGGCTATATCCAAAGCACTAAGAGTTCAGTGTGCCAAATGGCACCCCTAACAGCAACAACAAATGTCTGTCCTCTCACTGAGGATCTTATGAAGACAAAAGGTATGAGCCGTACCTGGAGAACCACCTACTGGCCAGGTCCTAACTCCCTACCTTTGGAGAGCAGGAGAAAAAAAGGTTGCTGCCACATCTGAATTCGGAGTGGAAGGTGAAAACACAAAATAATCCTCATCAGCAAAATCAGAGGGAAGATGTGCGATGCAGTGTCAAAAAGAGTGACTGATGCTAGTCTGATGGAGAGCCTTGAATGGCGTGCAAAGTATCTGATAGCCATGGGAGAGGTGTGATCTGGCAGCTTTTAGAGGAGTTGAGGGTTAGTATGGGAAGGACTGGAATACTGGGTCCACACTGTACCACTCACTCTCCCCAGGAGATTCTGGAACACCTGTCTAAGGGGCAGCCTAATCTATTAAATTGCAGCCTTAAGGAGCTATTGCTACTAGTAGGATATTGTTTATACCTTTTACCACTGTTGTATTCTAGAGGCCGGAGGCCAGTGAGTAATCTATTATTGCATTAGCCTGGACATAGGTGGTAAGGTTGAGAAACATTGTTGAGGGCAGGGAGAGTGGCTTTGAGAAACGCCTTCCTATTATAATTATTGCAATTTCTTGTTTGTACTGTAGATGTCATGGCCTCATTAGGCAGGGATTTTGTGTATATGCATTTGTTTTCATGTTTTCATAAGAAAAACCTTCACCATCCGTCAGAGATGAGACCCGTAGTTTAGAAGGTGTGGCGTTCTCTCTGTGCTATTTGGGTATAATCAATTAGTGTTATGTTTGTTTCCTGTTCCCTGACATTGATGAGGATGGATTTTTATGATCGTTGAGGGTTTTCATCTATCTAAAAAGGTATATACTTTACTTATTAGAATTAATTGCCTCTCTGAATTACCTGTGTTGTCAGTTACTTTCTATAAACCTCGACTAACTTGCCTTGAACTCTTTGACGTCTGGAGTGTTTTTGACTGACAATCTCAGCTGTGGCGACTAACTATATAATGGAAGTTTATATGTGAACGTATAAGATGTTTTCTTGTATTCAATAGACTTCACAATGAGATGGAGCAAAAACAATTATTAGCACAATTAAGTGGAGTGTCACACTTTTCTTTAGCAACACTGATTTTACCAGCCTATTCAGGTG